TTCCCGACCTTCCATTGTTAGAAAAATTTAAATATCTCGATAACAGAGCAATATCTTTTAAAACCTTGGGTATTTGATTTTGACTTGAACAAAAATCTTTTCTATTATATAAAAAGGCTAATTTGGGTAAAATTGGGATTCGCTTCTAGAAAAGCTGCTCAGTTGAGATCGTCAGATTGTGCTCAATTTAAGTTATGTTATATAGGAAAGTCTTGTAAGAATTTTGACGCAAGTTGTTTTAAAAGATATTGCTCTGTTATCGAGATATTTAAATTTTTCTAACAATGGAAGGTCGGGAACTGATGAGCCTTAAGATTGACCTTGTTCTGGTGAAATGATCACTCTCGTCGAGAAACTAATGTATTTAAAATGTGAGCTGTTAATGGCGTACCTAAAGCAAGTTGTTTAAATTTCAAGGTATGTAAAATACACGTATAAAAATGAATCAAGAAAGGTTTTCTCCACTATTATAAGGACAAAACATACTGTTGTTCGGGCCGAGTAGGGGTTTGGACGAGTCCTCTTTCATATGGCCCGAACAACACCATGTTTTGTCCTTATAATAGTGGAGAAAACCTTTCCTGATTCATTTTTATACGTGTATTTTACATACCTTGAAATTTAATTAACATGCTTTAGGTACGCCATTAGCAGCTCATATTTTAAATACATTAGTTTCTCGATGAGAGTGATCATTTCACCCGAACAAGATCAATCTTAAGGCTTATCAGTTCCCGACCTTCCATTGTTAGATGTGGGTGCCTCTATTGTAATTTCAATATGTCGATGTGGGAAAATTTTTAGAAGAAAAAATTGTAGGCGTTTTCACATCTCATCTAGGGCTACATACAGGGAAAGTTTCATTGAGATCGGTGATACCAATTGAGCACAATTGGCCATCCCTATCATGCATTGGCTTCTAGACAGATCCTTTGTTAAGTATACTGCTTTTTATCCTATCTGTGCAAACAGTAAAAATATTTTTGCTGAGATCAATAGTGATACTTAACAAAACGTCTCTCTAGGCATGTCTTCAAAGGTATAAAGGTTGAACATGCGTCTATTTTTGATTAAAAGAATCAACTCGTTTGGTCGAGATGTAATGGAGATATTCAATTTTTTTTCGATTAACTGACTTTTGGTCCACCGTGTATATCGATCAACTTAATCAAAGTCCTGAATGTATTACCTTGATTTAACATTTTAGTCTTTCCCCTTAATTCCTTTCATTTATCTTTCTACTTAATCAATTCAGTTAGTCTATTTCCTTAAGGGTATAGGTATCTGTGTGGATGAAGACAGGCCAACACCACATTTGATTTTCACCAAAATTTTTTACGTTACTTTACTATTTGCTTTATTATCTTGGCTACATGTGACAATGGTCGTATGATTTCTCTATTAACCTGAGGGTAACACATTTTTCTTTTCTCTCACTTGTCTCTCGCCCACTTTAAAAGAAGTAAATATTAGACGAACATCAAGATGGAAATTGAATGTGATCGTATGCTTATTACCGTTGTGTTCTTTCCTTCGTCATATAATCAGGCTTCTTTTTTATGTCAATATTTTTCATCTTGCATTAGATTTCTGTTTCTTGAGAGACGCACAACTATCAAAGTAAGAATGTAAATTATAATACCACCTTTATTCATTCGCAGCAAGCAAGCTTGCAAAGTGAGAAATTCAATCGATATTTAAAGATGATTTCGAAAGAACTTTTGCGTTCGTTTTCAAAATTTCATTTTCAAGTGAAGCTAACGAGGGAACTACCCCAGCGATCCCGATTTTTCGGCTTCATATTTTGGCTATAGGTAGGCCTTACTGAGACTAATAAAATTCTTGAAGCGTTTGTGCTTCTGGGCTGCTGACCAAAAGTTATAGCCATTTGACTTAATTTTCGACCTACGACAGGGTATTCATAGCAAATGCAAATGAAGGTAATTCGATCTAATATTCTGTCCATAAACAGCTCTCATATCCCCTAACATGTTCCAAAATTTTCAACTAAGACGGATGCTTCCTTCTTAAGATCTTCAATTTCCAGGGCAGCTCCATTATTGTGACTTGTCTGTTATAAACGGACATTGTTTTAAATCATTGAATATCTTAAGAAGGAATCATCAGTCTTGGTTGAAAAGGCTGACACATGTTATAAATCATGAGAGCTGTTTATGAAGTGGGTATGGGTGGGAGTCTACATCTTTAATTCACTGAAAGGAACAGCCGCACCCATCCACCTACAACAGACTCTCAGTTTAAGCTGGAAGTGTTTCCTCTTGGTCTATGTTTGTAGAAAGCTTATGTTGATTATAAGGAAGAGAATTGAAGCGGGCTGAGGTCATTTAAATTATGTGTTTTTTTTTCAGTATATTTCTATATCTAGGAGTTCTCGTCTCATATTGTCATTGATCCATCTCTGAATTAAACTGTTCTCATTTTTTCAAGTGTAACCATATTTTCTCAATTATGGCATTATCAGAAGATGTTAAGTACTGCAATCCTCGTTTGATTGAGAACACTTGCGATGAACCTGAAGCCTGTCTACTGCCGCTCGAAGATTATCAAGAGTCGGATCTTGTTTCCCTCGAGGAAGCTATTGAACCAATCAAGACACTCTTTCGTAATTTATCTCGTGACGTTTGGATTGCTAAGAATGCGTGTAAGGAACCAACCGATGGCCTTTCTTCCGACGAATCAGCCGCTATTCATCTTTATACCATGGAGGTGAAATCTCGAAGTCTATATTCGATTCTGAATGAAATGTTGCGCGAAAGAGATCGTCAAAAGCTTAAACCATGGTTTTCATATCTCAAACTATTTATTACTGCTCTCTTTAAAATACAGCCATGCTCAGCTAAGGTTATCTATCGCGGTGTCAAGGCTGATCTTCATTCAAAATATCGTCCTGGTGAACGTTATATATGGTGGGCATTTTCTTCGTGTACTTTGTCGCTCGCAGTGCTGGAACAACCAATGTATTTGGGTGAGACAGGCCCAAGAACTCTCTTCAACATTGAATGTACGAATGGAAAAGCTATTAAGCCGCATTCATATTACAAGACAGAAGATGAAATATTGCTCCTACCTGGATTCTATTTTGAAGTTGTGAGCCAAGTCAAAGTTGGTATTGACTTGTACATTATACATTTGCGCGAACTATCTCCTCCATATGTTCTTCTCGAGCCGCCATTTTCGAACGTTCCATGTACTGTAAGTTGTTTGCTTTCTATTCAATATATAATTTTTATACATCTTCATAGGTGTCAAATGAAACAAGTGCTCAGAAAGGTAAAAATCCATATCACTATAATCAAACTCATGATTTGTTACGAAAAAACTAGGACTAGATATTCCTTGTCCATTATGGAGTACCAAAAACTATACCTGAACGATCATCATTTGATGACCACTTTTACTTTGTAGTTGTCATTAAAGACGCGTCTCAACGGTAGAAAATCATGCATTGTGGAAGCACCACTTGATCCTGTTTAACGATAATTACAATCTTCATTCATAGATGTACCTCTTTCCACGATCACAAAAGCACATTGAGAGTTTTTTTCTCACATTTTTGAGAAAAAAGCGGTGCTAAGACGATAAATGCTTCAATGAAACTGTTATGATATCGGAAGAAAGGATAAAGAATATGTAGAGCAATAAGTAGTTTTGAACAAATTTTGATTGAAGCGGAAGTATTAGTGTGCCTATCCAAGCGAAGACCTCCAAAAGTATGAATTATATAAAGAAAAAGGTCGAACTATCGAGCTTTAATATACGTTTTCTGTTCTTTAACATATTTTTCAACAAAAATCTCCTGTAAAATGTCAGAATTAGCAAGAAAATGTCGATCGAGGCTTCTGTTCTGATCGAAGACCCCATCATAACCGATTCGAGTAAGTAGCTGAGTTATGTGTTGTCCTCTTTCATAGTATGTGCTCTTTCCGAGATTTATTTACTTCGAATACTGTGCTAGCGTGAAAGGTGAGTGAAATATCAAACAATGTCAGAGTCTTTGAACGGGTAGATGAGTTGACAGGTACTGGTGGGTGCGGCAGTTAGGGATGTCTCGCTAGCATTAGCATTATATTAATTGATATTAATTTTAATACTTCTGTGTTAGAATTAAAAAAATAATTTAATACTTTGACATTAATATCGAATTTGCATTAGCCTAATGCTAAACCGACATTTCTAGCAGCAGTGACTGTTTTCCAAGGATTCAAAAGTCTTGGAAATCACGGAAATCTTCAATTCTGGAAGCCTATTGAATTATTCTAAACCGTATTGTCCTGACAAGCCATGAAAGCCGTGTCAGTTCTGGCAAGTTAGAAAACATCGGTAATGTTGGAAAAGAAAAAAAAAAATTTTTTTTCTTTTAGTACATAATGGTGTCATCGAACTTTTCCCTATAGGTGCCATATCGCACAAAAATCCCGCACAACACTGACCAGTGAACGAAGCATCGTTTGAAAGTGTGGCGAACCATTGATAGGTATCGCATAGAGATGCGTGCAAGGAGTATTTCTAGATATCAGCCACGTCTAATTTGCAATCCCTTTAACATTAACAATGTGACAATAGTTACTGGCATTTGTGAATAGCTTCCGTGACAACGTGGTATATTCTAGCATTACCTAGTTGAAGTGGCCAAAGAGTCACTTAAATTATATGCTTGCCTGTAGGATCACTGATGTCCATTCTTGTTTATGGATCTTACTTCATTCTCTCATCTGTTCGCATCGCATATGAACAAACAGTGTGCTTCTTTGTGCCCTATATTGCGGGTTCTAACAGAAGACAGGTTAAAATTATGGGATTTGAGCTCTGCTCATTTAGTGTCTATCATGAACACAGCAGAAGTATAGTCGTATCTGGCCCATGACATCACGTTGATTGCCTACGTGTATGCAATATATCGCGAGGTATGCTTAATACAGGACATTGGCTTCTCTTTGTGAGAGTCAGGCGGTAAGATTCGACTTTGTTGCGATGCTAAGGAACAACAATTAGAAGAAAAAATCTCTTTTCAGACCATGAGAACATCTTTAGAACAGATGCCACTTCTTAAATTCCAACTTCTGCTAACTTTCAAATACTTTTTCAACACTGGTGATATTGACCGAGTGCACAGTTTTCTTTATTTTGGCACCCATACTATATTGATTTCTGAATACGTACTAAACAGAAGTGATGATTTTCATATCGTTAGTATGGACTCGTACAGGCGAAGTTGACACTGTCTTTCCTTCGTTTAGATGTATTGAAGCCAGACCATGTGACAGTCAGTGCTGCAGCTGTATCGAAACCACTGACAGTAGCATCTAATTTAACATCAGCAACCAAAGCTCCTCCGAAACCAGGTATGTTACTTTGAATATGCTCGAAGTTTCCGGTAAAGAACAACTTTATTTGTCCTATCTCTCAATTTATACGCTATAATTGACTATATTTTGTCTGTAATCCTGAACAAATCAACTCCACAACGAATAAGTTTTCTCGCGTTCACAGAATATATTGATGACATATGGATCTGTTTTGAAACGATCATGCGATCATCATGAACAAAGTGTCATCTCTCCTTTGTTCTGAGATCTGGCAAATTCTTGATTCTCTTGAATTTCAAAGCTCCTACGAAACACCATATCTAACAGTTCGTGTCCTATAAGAAATCCGAACGTCTTGCATTCGGGTTTTCCCTTTACTTCGACTATTTGACAATTCAAAAAAATGCCAAGACCCCCATCATTCTCTTTTTTTTATACAAGTACTCATTATTCCAAGAACTTTTATTCTTTCCTGATACGGTTGATATTAGATTTGCAATAATTTCGAAATTCTCAAAAAAACAGAATTTCTTTCTTGCAAATTTCCGATGATTGAAAAATGCAGACTATTTCAAGACTCGGATACCGGCAACTTTCCACTACCTCATTCTTTGAAAATACCGATGATAGAGAATCTTAAAGAATTAAAAAATCAGATACATCCACACTCTATGATTTCAAGGTGGTTTTCTTTCCGAAAAAGCTTCAATAGATGCACACTTTCGATGATCTCTACCTTGTCTAATTTTCACTATCCATTTGCTTCACAACAATTCAGTGTTCCCTACTTTCGTTTTTATTTCGTCTATGAAGGTCAGTCTTAAAATACTGTGTGTTCGTGGCCGGGGGAGGGGGGAGGGGGTATTGCCTCAAATACCAACACATACGGTTCATTTGCGTACATGCTGAAGTCTTACAAGGGTGTGAGCTTTAAGATCAAATGCTACACACAAAAACGATGACAATTTCTGTTGCACATGAATAGACTTCAAATGCGGCAAACTCTTTCAATATGCTAAAAGGTGGTACAGAAACCTATCTCTCTATATTTCTTCGAAAAAAACTGCTCTGAATTTTATGTCATGTCGTATATTGTCTTTCAAGTTAGCAGCCGTTTCAAAGTCAAATATAGTATTGAGGCTCATATGCTTTTGATGGTTTTTTGTGTACTGTCGGTCCGCAAACAACTGCCCTTTAGTACGTCTACTATTATTCTGTAACATTCCAGTTCGCTTGGTACTGTAGACCATCAATACTATAGTCTTCCTCACTTCAATCAGTGTCATTGACTATTCGCTATTGTTAAATTGTATTGTCACATGATACTCCATTATGTTAAGTTGTTATTAGTTGCTGCAAGAATCGATTTCTATTAAGAATTTGCGAGGATCCAATGGTCATAGTCGACATGTAACGACAGACTGGAGGAGCAGCTTATCGCCATCCTTGGTAATGATGTTTATTAGCTACTTTACATCTCCATGATGTGTTTACTGCACATTTAACACACGCTTATATGCAATAGAGAGAAAGCGAGATGAACACAGGAAAGAATAATAGATAGATGATAAAGAAAAAAAAGAAAAGAAAGATCAGTAGAAGATGATATCAGCATCGGTACATATTCCACTTGCCTCAAAATTACAAGAAAAACAGTATTGTGCAATCTATTAAATTATGCAGTAAAAGTGAGAGTGTAACATTCATTTCCGATTGTTAAAAGCAGTTACTCAGAAGGGTAGCATTTATCTGTATATTACTTTGAAAAAGTAAAGTAAAACATTGAAGCGAAATTTATTGGTACTTTAGTATTTTATAATAATACTTTCATAAATGACCCAATATGTAAAAGCCTATTCATAATTATACCTTTATTAGATAGGCAAAAAATAAAATAAGGTGACATGGCAAAATATTTTTCATTTATTGACACTTCGAAGTCTCTCTGCTATTTATTTACTACCGATATTTGTGTCTAGTCAGCATTTAATTCGATTTATAAGCAGAAGTACTTTAAAATATAAAAAAAAAAATTTGAAAACTACAATAAGAATTTGGAGTATAGGTGAAAAGTTGTCGTTACGTTACCAGGTTAACTGATCACGACTATCGGTGTGGGTGTAGATGTTAGCTTTCTCTTCAACTTCAACTATACCCACGCCCCACCTTCCTATCAGAGCACTGAATGTGAACTTCACGATGTGGTTTGGTAGTCAGTCGAAATATTACATTTTCTTTTCTGGGAGCTTCAGAGAAGGGAAGGCGCAAAAAACGCAGAAGTTACGAATAAGGAATTTGTTCGGCACAACACAAGACTGTGATCCGTGAAAAGGTGTGCTCCTTGCCAAATTTCAGGAAAAAAATCGCATTTTTGAACATATTTACGTAGCTTGTGTATTTATTGGGTTCCATCTTGACGAAATCTACTCCTCTTTAGCTCGTTTATAGTGTACCTAGGAGATCAAAGCATCAAAAGACATGATGTAGCTTGCGTCAAAAACTGATGAAACTTTAATCTGTGTTTTTTTTCAAACATTTATTAATGCATCTTTAATTGTATCGGATGCGACAAACGTATTACTTTCTCATGGAGGGTATGTCATGAAAGTCATGAGATTCGCATCAAACTCATCATTTTGTTTTAAGTAGAACAGCTAGAATACAAAGAGAGAGTCATACAAGAATATTACACTATTGATATGCTCTTCTCATCATTTTCATGCTATTTTTATCATTTTATTTCCACCATATGCACTGCTTCCTCGCAATACCCGAGGCATGGATTTATATAATGTTTTCTTATGCATCTTACAGATGAATCAGAAGTGGATCTACAATAATTCTTGTGCTATGTACTGAAAACAGTGTAACAAACAAAACTAAAATACAGAAGATGACGCAGTTGCTAGCGTTATAAATGAGAATCCACACTATTTTGGTAATATTCCTTTGTTAATTCTTAAGAGTAACACAGATACAGGTGTGTCAGAGCCCATGATGAGCATTACGAGATCATATCTCAGCATGCTACAATGGTATCTTTCTATTTGTAAATTTTACAGATCTAAGATGTACAATATCTGAAAGCTGATGTACGGTTTTAAAATTCATGCGTTTGTATGCTAACCTTTTGGAATAATAACTTTTGTTACTATATGCTTGAATCATCATTCCAAATCGCAATTCATAAAGAAGAAGCTACTAAACTCATCTTTAGTTCATTTTGAATGTTTTTAACATTCGTTTAGCACATCAAGAATTCTCTGCATCCAGTGCTGGCAAAGAACTGGATTGTAAGGGTAATCCTTGTGCCAATTGCGGCAAATGCCGTGATTGGTACTATACTGGCAATCCTGTAGATTGGCAATGGATCCGCAATATCAAAAATTGGCAAAATAGTGATCAAGAGCGTTGGAATAATGGTACATATTACAACAACTTCAATCTTCGTGATGGAGCAACATGTGATCGTACTCTTCGTTATGCTCTTGGTCGTGCTCTTCGTGCTACTTTTGGTCTTGATTTTTATTATTATGGTGGTCTTGGTTATGCTGGTCATATTTGTTTGTGTAGCGATAACGTCAAAAACTAAATTTTTTTTGAAGTAACAGCTAGTGAAATCATTTAGCAAATCGAAAAATATAAGTCGAAATGTGTGTCTAAGAAATGTAATTGTGGTATAGCCGTTAAAAGGAGCGCGTGAGAGCAATGTAGGTTGGTGTGAAAGGAACAGGGTGGGGAGCTCTTGCTGCTGGGGAGATGGCGTAGCAGGGGTGTGAAGATTCCTGCTGAGGACTCTGGGGAATGGACGCGCCAGGCGGTTTTAAACTCATGCTCGTCGAAAGACAAGAAAAGTGGCGAAAAATGCATAAAAATGTATGCTTAATGTGTCTAATTGAGCAAAAAGCTATTCAGCTTGTTTGTAAACTGTATTATGGGTTTTAGCAGTATGTATGAAAAACACTGTTCATGTTCTCGTGCAGTATTTACCATAGTCTACTTTCCTAGGTAATAAGTGACAGAAATGAAGCCAATAATTCCCTGAAGCATACCTACTAAAAGTGAACGGAAAAATGTATGACTTGTATGTAATTGTAGATGAAATCGAAATCGTATCAGATTTTTTTTATTATTAAAATCCGTTGATTCAGGAACAGTTATTTAGAATAAATGCATGGGTTGTATCGATTGTCTTCTTTAGGAGCAACTGAGCTGAAGATTGTTCAAAATGTTTATGATAATACTTATACTTTATTATCTACTCTCACCTTGTACACTGAACAATATTGTTTATTAATTTAATTCAAGTTTACATTCCACAGTGAGCAGGTTTTGCATGGCAGATGGACACACAGTTTTTTTTTTGCTTAAAAACTGATTTCTACTGGTCAGAGCGAGTTCTATATCACTTCAAAAACTACTTGTGAGGAACTCTTGCAATAATTTTTTGAAAGAATTGTTTTGCCAGAAAATATATCTTGTCACATTTCATTTGGTATAGCTTTATGCGATGGCTCCGAATATCACGTTCTTTTTACATTACAAAACTATCCCAATGGAAAAAAAAGTAGTGATTTCCAGTTCAAAGCATGAGTTTTTAGGTGTTTTTAACTCAATCTATGATCACTGATACAATACGACGTCAATAACCAACGATAAATTAACATAAAGTTATACAGATGATAAAGCTTTTAGCTTAACTAACTGATAATCCTTGGCACCGTTCGAAAAATATGATATGACTATATTTTTTTGAGCTTTCCTTGTGGGGTGTGGGTGTGGGGTGTGGGTTTGGTATTATTCTGTAACTACAACCACACTCACACCCTCGTTTATTAAAACCACGTTTAATATCATTTCGTTATGAATTTGAAAATTCAATTGAAAAGGATCTCGATACATTTTTTGGTAAAGAAGGAGAATTATTTTCTTCAATTTTATTAACTGATGTGAAATCAATGTTAACTAATCTTGGAACAAAATTAAAATCTATTTCACAAGATAAAACCGATATCAATATACAAATAAAAAAACCATTACTTGAACATCATATACAAATTGTTGGTTTTGATGAAAAAATGTTGGTCTTACAATCATTAAGATTATTAAAAAGGCCAATAGTACATGAACATGATGAAAATGATTATCGATTTTTAGTTAAAGATGGAGAAGAGATTCGACCAGATCAACGTATTGAAGCATTATTTTCAATAATGAATGATCTTTATCATGATGATGCAAATTGTCACCAATCTAATTCGGCACAAATGTTCATTCGAACTTATAAATGGTAAGAATATATCTTAATTTTGGGATTATTTTGTTTCTTTAAAGTTATCTCAATGTCAACAAAATTAGGTATAGTTGAATGGCTTGATAATACTCGACCATTGAAAGAATTAATTGAAGAAAGTTATACAAATTCTGAACATGATATTATCACTCAAGGTCAACATTCAATAAAACTTTATCAAGAATATGTTATCAATAATTTTCAAAAACCTAAACCAACTGCTAAATCAACAAGCAATACGATAATGTATGCAGAAGTATTTGTTAGTTTAACCAAAATACAAGTCGAGGAAGACTTTAAGAAAATTCAATCAGTTGTTCCAAGTGATTTACTTCGTCGTGCTTATTATAAAATTGCTAATTCACATGAAGAATTGTATACACTTCGAAGATAACTTATTACAAGTTATGCTGTTTCAGGTACAAGGATGGGTGTGGGTGTCGTTGGAATAGAAACCTACATCCACTTACACCCACATCCCACACACTCACACCCCACACCCACACCCGAAATTGCACAACCTTGATGAAAGTTGATAAAGCATTGTCAATAAATAAACAGAGATAAAGAAATATATATTTCAACAAACATTAATTTTAACAAAACAGGTTTGTTTGGTAGTAAGCAACATTAATGTCTGAAAAAATTTCTTCATCTCTTCTGTCATTACCTGTTGAGCTTGTTTATCGCATTCTGGACAAGCTCGATGAATTAACAATTTTATGTTCAGTTCGTAATGTATGTATACGGTTGAATGCAATCACTGATACATATAATCGATACCAGGTAAATTTTATTTTTATCATAGAGCCAGATTTTGATCATCTTTAAAACATTATTCAGCTTAAGAAATAATTGTTTTGGTCATTTCACTTCTTGATTTTAGAATACAGTTTGTCCAGCTAATTCTGCTACCGAAGAGCGAGTGCGCTACCACGTTCGTATTTTTCGACCGTCTCATAACCTTAAATACATTTACACCAAAAAATCGACAACATTTTAATAGGTTTCGCTAAGTAGTGCTCATATCTTTCTACTTACATGATCAAAA